AAAAAAAAAACAGCCCCATGGTTGGGCCACGGCCGAGATGTCTCGGCCACACCCCAGATTGGCCATGGCCGAGATGTCTCTGCCACAGCCGAGATTCACAGGCACTACCCTTCACACGCAAACGCGAAGTCTCAAGAGTAGCCTACTCCGAAGAAGTTGGGGGCTCAGGGGCCTGGACCCATTAGCGAAGTATTCTACCACTTCGTTCAGGATTTCGATCACGTGTGGCCTCGAGTGACAAAGTACAGCGGTTGAATAGATCGGATCTCGACGGCATGGTAGTTTCCGAGCGGGGACTGTAAAGATGCCCACCTCCCGTCCAATGAGATGCATCGGAAAAAAAAAAAAAAACAAAGTTGGACTAAGTTGGACATGATAGCTCGTGGCTTTGCGTGGGCGGGAAGTCTGGATTTTATGGGCCCTAAAGGGAGAGGGTTGATTTCCAGACTTCGTTTGTTTTTTTTTTTGGCTCTGAGAAATAGAACTTGAAATGTGAAATTCAGATAGCGTGGTGGATCTGACAGGAACTCTTCCAGGTCTGTCGGATGGCCTGTTAGAGGCATCATGAGATACATGGGGATGAATGTATCCCTAAAGCCATTACGTGTTCATCCTTGTGGCTGTGTTCGTGGACACATTTTATTGCCACGGTACATCACTATGAAGACTTATGTGAAGGATATCGTACCAACGTATGAATTCGGGTGCACAGCTGTTCTTCTTACTTTTATGTGCTATTTCAATTCATTTTAAATCAGAAAACCATTTATTCATCCAAATAAAAAATCACTTTGTATTTTCCAAAAAACCATAAAATTGCGTCACACATCGTAGAATACTTCGCTAGTGGGCAGGAGCCGGGACCCACTAGCATCAAGTAAACAGGTGTGTGGCGGCCGTTTCTTTAAAAAAAAACATATAAAGAGTTCTTTTTTTGATTTTCAGAAATGCAAAGAAAACAAGGCCAACGCTATGCGGGACCCACTAGCATCGAGTAAATAGGTGTGTGGCGGCCGTTTCTTTTACAAAAAACATATAAAGAGTCCTTTTTTTTATTTTCAGAAATGCTAAGAAAACAAGGCCAACGCTATGCATCCACACTTCCACCAACCCGGTACATCTGCATGCGACCTTCCCGCTGGCCTGTTCGCAGTCTTCCACGAAAATCTTAATATTCTCAATTTCTGCGAAAAAAAATAGCAAGGCGAAAACACCCCCCCCTAAAAAAACAATAGTATTGAAGCTTCTTGCCAACGCAAAGTGGCCAACTAAATGGCCAACAAATGATTTAAAAAAAATTATACTGGGGGACTGTGACGCACGTGCAGAGGGCACGTGCGGAGATGGTGAGAGAGAGAGAGAGAGAGGAGATGGACACACGCGAAGCAGCAGCAGAGTGCAGGTCCAGTCCGGCTCAATGAATGAACGAACAGAATGAATGAACCTCCCGCCCTGGGCCTAGGCCGAAGTGATATACCGGCCTAGGTCCAGGTACGGGATAACCTGGTACCGGACCAAGGTAAGGCCGACGGCCTGAAACTGGTCCGGCCTCACTGCCGGGGCGTAGGGGTACCGCTACACGATCCTTGGACCTGTGAATGGATCAAGCGATACATCAAACACGCTATCCGATGAAATAGCGGAAACCCAAAAGGAACGGCAAAAGGACCAACCCTAAATGCGGAGCAGGCTCCATGCATGAAAAGGGATGCGATGCAGACTAAGGCTCAAGCCTAATCTATACCATAATGTCTGGTCTGTGTCGACCCAAAAAGTAGAAAAATGTCTGACCTGTGTCTGCCAAGAAAGAGAAAAATGTCTCCTCAGTCAAAGGGGCTGAATATAAATCAACACCAGGGCCCTAAAGGCCAAAGAATAACTAAACCGATGTCCTAAGTCGAAAACCAATGTGGCACAGTCTCACGTGCCCTGTACACAATGCACAATACGTGAAGAAAAGAGAAAGGAACTCAGTCGCATGGCAGAAGTACGGATGTGTGGGAAGGCGGCAGGTACAGCTTACAGAGTAAACTCCAAGGGGGCACCCACACAACCAGGTAAGGGTTCATTAGGCTCAGAGGGGGAATAACAGCACGACACCGGGCTCAATGGAAACCATCAAATGCGTACCGCCAACTGAAAGGGGGGAAAAACACTCACACAAGGGAGCACACATAAGGTGAGCCTGGGAGGAGAGAGGGTTATGCCGGCATAGACATGTGGCCAGAAGCCGCGAGCAAAGAAAACGTACACTCCAGAGGAGGGCGCGCAGCATAAGGTAAGGCAGAAGGGTGGCGAGCGGACACACCCACATAGGCAGGGAAAATAGGGGGCATCATGCGACTGAAGGGTAAGTTCGAGGGTGGTGGATAGGTGGGAATGATAGGAACTCCGTAGCCGAAAAAGTGAAGTAGTCAAACTGATGAGTGTCGAGACTGAAGTCGGACCGAAGTAGCCTGGATGAAGTAGGAGTACCGCAAGAACCGAGTAGAAGTCTGGAACAATGCGACAGGTACTCTAGTACTGAAGAGCGGCACTGAGGTCGAAAGTCGAATGTAGAAGCCGAAGTAGAAGTCGAATGTAGAAGCCGAAGTAGAAGTCGAATGTAGAAGCCGAATGTAGAAGCAGAGTGTAGAAGCCGAATGTAGAAGCTGAAACCGGGAGCTGCTGCATAAGTGTCCAGGAATGGTAAAAGATAGAGAGCGTATGGGGGATATAGATCAGTCATGAAAATGAGAAGGAAGTCGATGGGTACGCTGAGGGCGAGAGGAATGAAATGCAGCAACAGGCGGAACCACAGCCAAAGGGGAAGGAGGACTTGAGGCGGGTACCGGTGGAGCAGGCGAACCCATCGATGGAGGAGGGGGAATGTTAGTGGTCGCAGAGGTAGAAGGGTCAGTAGTAGAAGGACGAGAAGTAGGAGGGGAGGGTGATGAAGGGAAAGGATGAGCCCGATCGTAAGTACGCACAAAAGTCATAGCATGCTTCAGGTGCTCAAGAGACTCCCAAGTAGACTCCTCGTCAGGATTACCCTTCCATCGAACGAGATACTCGAGGCAGGGAGGGTCACCATCAGTCATACGCCGGGACGCAATATCAGAGACGACAAACTCC